TTTCCCGATACTGCTTTGTTAAGATGTAGAGGGGTGATCGGCCACAGTCCAAGCGATGTCGCGCAATTCAACATATTTTCATGCAAATATTTGATGTCTTAAAGATCCAAAGAAAGTCTTTGAAAAAGTGATAACAGAACTAGATTCAGCACTAAAAATCGTGTAACCTGAAGATGCCAAGTTTCATTCATCAGAATATATACTTCAACTCATTACTGACTTATGAACAGTTTTTCTTCAAAATACATCGAGAAACGTCCCACTTTTTGGCAGTATTTTCTTATGTGATAGTCCCCCAAAATTTTGAAACAAAAAATCCCAATAACTTTTTTTATTTATAAATGGATTTTTAAGATTTAAAAACCACAGTTCTTAGAATTTACTCTTCTTTCATTTAAGCTGGATAAAAGTGTGATTTTTCATTGTCATTGCTAATTTTTGTTTTTTGTTCTTTGTCATTTTCTACATTTGTTTCAAGTCGCAAACACGCTCCAGGCCATTCCCAAAGAGGGGACATATATCTCGTTCAAGCATAGTAGAATTGTAAGTGGGCTGACTCATGTCACGCTCATACTCTGCCTGATCTACAACGGGGAACTGCTGCTTTTTCTTTCCTGATCCTTACTATTGTCATTTTCCTGTACTTCTTTTGTATGTTTGTCACTCCCTTGTGTCCTGCTATTTTGGGGTGCCTTGATAGTCAAAGCAGACCTTGTGCTGTTGAAGCTAGAGAGGTGAGCAGTGTAAGTCTGATTCCCTGTTAAGACTTCTCTGTTGACACCCACCCCTTGGCGCTCATATGACCTTATGCAGTTGCGAGCGCCGTAAAACCCTCTACTATTTTTTTTTTATTTTTTAAAACCCACACTCCTGTATATGTGGGTCAAAATATTGATAAGGGTCCCCAATTAAGTATGCGGCAAGTGGTAATATAGCCTACTACAGATTTTTTAGGTCAACTACAGATTTTTGGAAAAAAATTTATGTCAACTATTGATTTTGGCCCCGGCAATGTTGGCAGGTATGGATCCCGTAAGACAGGTTTCCATTAAGGAAGGTTCGACTGTAAACAAATTGGGTCGTCCACAAAGATGCTACGGCTATTTCATTTTTCGAATCGAGGAGAACTATGCCGGTCACCATTTTGTTGTGCCCGGAAGTTCTCGCTACTCCTTTTCTCTCTCTCTCTCTCTCTCTCTCTCTCTCTCTCTCTCTCTCTCTCTCTTCGGGGTGAGAATAGCCAAAAGTAGCAATGCCAATCAGGCTTCTGCACGCTGCGAAAATTTGGTCCCCGTTTGCGGGTGAATTTTTGGACCGGGTCAGAACGATAGTGACTAACTTTCTCGAGCTCGTTCTGCGCTGTTTCTGGACCTATGTGAATAAAACTTGGCAACCAATTAGAAAATAGAGCGAACTAATGATATATGTCGAAGTTCGTACTCATAAATTAACCTATACTTTTGGTGTCGGAAACACTTTCGTATCAGGTATACCGAAAACTATAAGGAGTTCGATATTCAACACCGAGATGGTAAGAGATCCATCTTTCCTCTATAGTGTGTTAAATTTTGAACCTTCTGTGTCAATTAGTTGTGCAGAATTTATCATAAATGCACGACTACCCACTGTACAACGCGGCTTCGCACGGAGACCGGCCGTTTTCCCCTCACTCATATATGCAAATGTCTGTGACCTACAAATCCTTGCATGACTATTCCGAGCCAGTTCATTGGTCACTTGAAATATGGCAATGGCGGGTGCGCATATCCGATTGTTTTTCTCTCTATTCCCCTGTAACATTGCAATGGGGGTATTCTGAGGCGAGCTTGTTCACGTCTCAACGGGAAAAAGAGGTTTTAATTGAAGAGCCTGCTAGATTGAATCAAATTATATTTTATGGTTGGCATGGTCTAAAGTCATCAAAGAAAGCTTTGCCTTTATTTTGTCTCGCTGCCAACATATTCTTTAAGTTCCCATGTTGTGATACGATGCTATAAATAAAATGGACTCATCTGAACCCACCTTTATCGCAAAATCATAATATGTAGACATGGTTAGTAAATCTGCAGCTTTGTCTTTTTCATCTTTTTCTCCTCTCGCTCTTTCTTTTTCCTCTGCCTTTCTCTTCTTTTCCTGTTGAGCTCGTTTTCTATCTTCTTTAGTTTTCGCCTCTTCCTCTTTCTTTCTGAGATTCTCCCTGTACATGTTACGGTAGACCAATTGGTATGCATGACTTCATAGCCATAGCACCAATTTGAACGTGTTGTGGCCATTTTGGTTTGGGTTGAAGAGGTGAAAGTGCAAAGTGCTCTGCTTCTTTGAGTCAGTGTGATTGTGTCTGTGTGTGTGCGTCTTTATGTATATGTGTCTGTATCTGTGTGTGTGAGCGTATGGCTGTTTGAATCTGTGTGTGTGTGTGAGAGAGAGTGTAAGTGTTTGTGTGCATGTGTGTGTGTTTGACCATCTGTATGTGTATGAGCCTGTGTTTGCCTGTGCGTATGAGTGTTTGTGTTTGTCGGTGTGAGTGTGTCTGTGTGTATCTGTGTAATATATCTTTGTGTGTGTGTGTATGTGAATGTGTGACTGTGCGTGTCTGTTAGAGTGTGTGTTTGTGTGCATCTGTGTGTGTGTATGAGTGTTTTGTGCGTGCGTGTGTGTCTCTCCATCTGTACGTATATAAGCCTGTGTGTGCTTATGTGTAAGAGTGTGTATGTTTGTGTTTTTGTCTGTGTTAGTGCGTGTGTATAATATGTCTGTCTATCTGTATGTGTGTGTGTCTCTGTGCCGCGTGTGTGTGTGTGTGTGTCTCTGAGAGTGTGTCTGTGTGTGTCTATAGTCTATGAGATTTTGTGTCTGCGCATGTGTCTTGAGTGTATGTCTGTTTATGTTTGTGTTTATAATGTGTGTGTGTTTGTGGGGGAGGGGGGCGTGGGGAGATCATACCCAACATGAGAATCACTGTGTTGGAACAAGACAATATTTTTTAAACGCGTTCTGTCAGTGTTTTCCTTTAACAGAGTTTGCTGACAGAATCCCTTTTCCAAAGCCGTAGGGGGGGGGGGTGTGTTCTGCCAGCAAAGTCTTTAAAAAAAGGCGTTTTGACAGCGTAACCATTTTAAAAAGGCCTTCTTTCGTATTTTGAATGTTAATTTATTCAAAAACTAGTCACAGTTTCACTTTGATTTTTCCACACAAGTAGGGTAACAGATCAGACTATTGAATTAGCAAGTAAAAAATTTATGCGACAAAATGGAAAAAAAGGCTTTTGTCAGCTTAAGGAAGAAGGCGCTCAATCTATCTGGCCTTTAGTTTATTATTCTCTCTTGTTGGACTGGTGAGCACTGAGCCATGCCCAGCCGTCCAACCCAAGCAAAAATGGCGGACCACCGATTCAATTTGTCCCGCAGCCCTCGCTCGCTCAGCATAAAGGGAGAGAGGGCTGGCTGGCGGTCGCACGGTATCTAATGAATAGAGAGTAGGGCTGTGCAGTTACCCGGGTAAAGAGCTTAAAATCGGTTACCCAGGTATTGGTGTCAGGCACCCGGGTTTTCTGCTTCCTTCGTTAGTGCTTTGAAAATGCCCTTAAATTATGTCCCTTCGTTCAAATCTTAATATAAGTACTGAGTACTCATCGATACTGGGCTCTCTTAGTCGATACAGTGCTCAATATTGGCCAATATCGACTAGTGCTCACCACTACTCGTACCGTCCTCCTTTCCCTGGAAAACAGCAGGCTACAAAAAAGGCCGCATTTTGGCCTGTTATAAGAAAGTTTCCAAGAATTGATCTGATACTGATACTTTGGTAGGGCTAGGCCCATAGTTATAATTTCAATATCCTTATGTATGGAAGCAACTTGTGTGCAGTTCTAAGAATCCAACAGAGAAGTGGAAAATTTTTCTAAGAATTATGTGAAGTAAAAGGGTTTTAATAGCTTTGGCTTTGTCACTTTGGCACAGTTTCTATCAAGATTGTTAAAGAAAGTCATACGCTTGGGATTACTTTGAGAAAATAAAAGATGAGAAAAGCACCCTGCAACATCTGCAAAAGCATAACAAAAGCTGACGGGTCTTCAACTTCAAGCCTGTTGAAGCATTTGAAGGGAAAACACCCAAATGAAATCACAAGCTGACAGAGCAGTAAAGAAACAACATTTGATTATTGAAATGTCAGGTACCTAAGAAAGAGTAGTGGTTTATATCTATGCTGAAGATGGATCCTGTTGCTGCCTTCGGGCACTTGGTGGCAGTTGGTTTTTGCCTTTTTTTAAATAGCCACTTGTGGCAGAGGCAAGTTGAGGAAGGAAGCTGACGCTGTGGAAGCTTTCTCTGTAGTACTTTTAGAGACAGGGGTAGGGTTTGGCAAGTTTCTTTCGGCTCTGCAGCCACATGGGGAGGTGCATCCTCCACACGTGCAGGGACAACAGCATTTCACAGAGCCAGCCAGGTCTAAGGCATCTAATGTTGAGCTCTTCATTCACAGTGGGGCAGCTGGGAAAAATGTTGTAGGAGGCTCCTGGGAAGACGATGATGCAGATGACTGGTTCTCAGTTGACAGTTTGAGGCCTCTATGTTAACAAACAGCTTACATGACTTCAACTTGTGGCTTACATGACTTCAACTTGTAGCTGTCTGCCTCTTTAGATGGATCAAATGGGGAAAGGCCCACGTCCCTAAATCCAGTAGTGGCTGTTTCGGGTTTACTGCTTTCAGTCCATACCCCTTTGAAGACACTTGCAAATGTTAGCTTTGTCACAATCTCTCACATGTTTTTTGTCCTGGAAACTAGAGACAGACCTCTTCCAGCAGTTTTTGAGACTGCCAAAAAAGTGAAACTATTCTTATTCGGATTTGTTTACTGTGACATTCTATTCTTGCAGCGGTGACATTATCATTTTTGGGCTGATTTTTTTTAAGCTAGCAGGATTGTTCCTCATGCTGTCATGAAAGTTCATAATATTCTTTCTAACCAAATGCTTTGTTTTTTTTCATATTTCTCAGTGTGTGTGTATGCTGTGTGTGAAGAACCTCAAGCATGGATGCCACAGCAGACTCTGCTCCTCCTCCCCCCGGCGGCTTGTATAGACTGTACAAGACAGTTTCTAATGTAAGTTCCACAATGTATTGGTAGACTTCTTTTTTTTGGAATTTTCGTCCCTTGCTAGTAATTTTCACCTTATTTAGTCTATCTCATTCCTCAGTTATCATATAATGTTAACTGACTGACTGCAGATACTACTAATGCTGCCTTGTCAAGCCAAGATACACGAGAATTGCTGATCCCACACCTCTGTCAGTCTCTCTATCTTCACTGTTTTTACGTGATGATCTTGGTTGGTACGGAACGAGATATGAAAGCTATATATTATATATTGATGTCTGTTTAATTCTGTAGTTGTGTCCCTTGGTCCATTAGTGTAGCTTGTTGGGGGAGGGGGGGATGGGGGTTGTAAAATGAATTACAGTGGATATTTGGGTTCTGTTGTTTTCTTAAGGGATTATTTATTAATTAATTGAGCTCAGTGTTAAAAAAAATCTTTTCCAAAGGGGAAAGATCACTGTGCATAAATAGATCTAAGTAAATTTTCCTTTTTCGGAGGCGGAACCCGTTGATCCTGTAAATCCAGAGCTCCGGTTGTTGTTGTTGGGGTTTTTTTTAATGAATGTCCGGTCCCCCAAAAGCTGAAAAAAAAAACCTTCCAGATTTAAAAATAATTTTCCATGAGCAAGGAGTCAAAAAGCAATGAGCGGAAGCGTATGTGACACCGAGGCTCGATCGGGAAGATCAAGATCTACTTTCGCTTTCGTTACCGCCGAGAAGTTTGCCAGAAGTTGTCTGCTAACGCAACATTTGTGACATGCAGGTTGTGCAGTATAAACGCAATGTCGCCGTGCAAATAAAATTTAATCAATGCTCGGTCGGACTCACCTCTGTGCTATCACTTGTGGAAAAAAAAGAAAAGAAATTACAAGCGTCGTCCGATTTTTAGATTGGCTGGCTGGCCATCGTGACCGGTCACTGAACCTGCGCGCATTCGCATCATAAATGCGGCATCGGGCGAGTAAAGACCGTCTTTGGTGGGAGTAACGGCGCTGCGAAGTATAGGACTACGGAATAGGGGAGGAGATTATTGATTTTTGGGGGGTTTAAGATACTATCGGGGGAGGGGGAGGGAGTTAAGGCAACACCAGAGGACAAAACTTGGAAGCACATTTCAGAATTTTGATTTGAGCTTTCTGCAAAGCGCGCGTTGGTGCAGGCCATGTGCGGAATCGGGACCCTTCATACTTTGCAAGTCTGTGTTATTGAAATAAAGTGTTCGCGTTTCATTGGATGGGTGATAGTAAATTATACCTACAGTATGTTGTAACTTTCTGTTCAAGACTGGCAGATTTTCAGTGTCACTGCATCTTGCCCTCCCACAGTTGTTACAACTCTCACAGTGCACGGGTCTACTTGAGCCTGTAAAGTCTTTACTTTTCTCTGAGTTTGAGCAATAATTTGAGAATTTGAGTCTGTTAGTTCATATTATAAATCATGGACACCCAGACTGGTTCTTGATAGTCGAAATTCATGTTCAAGGCCCTTCCGAACTCTCAAAGCAGGATTTATTTTTTATATAAGAATGAGAGGAAAATATTACAGGTATATAATAGACTGAAATGCTTAAGTCAAACAAGACCCCAGTACGACACTGAACACTAACATGTTGTTGACTGGGTACATGTATATTGTACGTGTGTGTGCTCCCTTTTCCGAGCGGGTGAGCTAGTGATTTTTTTTCAGGAAATATTGCTGGACACCCTGAACATTTTACTATTTCTAGTTGGTCGGTCGTGGGAAATACACATTTTCCCCTGAAAATACACATTTTCATATGTCCCAATACTCATTTCGGTTTTCTGTTGTTGGCATCTCTGGAAAGTTTAACCGTATTTGTACGCCGTGTTTTACTGTCGTATCCATACGATGTTGCCACTTTCTAAAGATGAAATTAACTTGTAAATCCAATCCGTACGCTTTGCATAGCGGTCTGTCAAAATGATTTTTTGAGAAATACTGGAAGTTTCAAAGAGATCTTCGCACTAGAAGTATTCTAAAATATGAAGAAAATGACGCCTGGGGTACAAAATAACCCCAGGCGTACGGATAGGGTTAAGGAGTTCAGATTTTATTTTTTTCGCCCTCTGGTTCCACCCGTTCTGTTTGTCAAGACTATTTTGGAGAAAAATAGCATCAATTAGGTACGACCTCCTAAATGATCTAAATTGTTTCGATTGGGTCATAAAAAATATATATCAGACCTGGCACTCATCCC